TTCCCTTCAGGGTCCCCAATCGAGAACTTTATAGAGTTATTTACATAGACGGCTCGCATAAGGCCTTTTGCCCGTACTCATCATTCTTGGGGGGAGTATTCAGACCTGTGACCAATACATCATTCATTTTTGAAGCCAGCGTCACGTGATTATGGCGATGTGTGACTTTTCGAAAAAAGTTGCCAACAAATTCAATGGCAGTGGATACGATACTTTGGCTCACGCACGAAAATGGAGCTAGTGGAGCCGAGTAAATCGTAAGAAAATGCAGGCGATAATAAGCGCTTCAATGAAGAAGTGAACGAACATATGCCTAGGATTCATAGTTCATAAATAACCAACGATCAATGAAGAAAAATCGCAGCGATTACAACGTATCGAGAAAAGGGTACAATTTTGAGCGACCACAAATCGAAAAAAGCATCAGAAGGCGCCCCTGACAACAAGAAGGACAGTGATGACATCGTCATGGGGCGCTGGTGGAGTGTTCGAGCGAAGTAAAAAACAACCTTGAAATCAGCACAGGGTTCAAATTAACAGGGAAGTATTAGGAGCAAAGTACTAGTGATATAGCCCGGAACACCCAACAGCCTTTTACCTCTTTAAAAAGAATCGGAAGGAACCCTGGTGAAGTGAAGAAATGGCAATTAGGGTCAGGGCTGGGCAACCGAAACTCAATCTCATTGAATCCGTTGATCCACTTTTCTCTGTGTACAATCTCTCGTTCTTATGGCATACGATGGTCATTGTGGTTTTACACATTCCACCTTTCACAGATGATAAGTGGCACACCCGCTCTGGAGTCTCCCCCCCCCCGAAAAGGCCCATATACTGGAGCGTCACATGTTTTTGCACTTTTCGATGCTTTAGCAGCCTCTGTCCTCTAGCTGTCACCGTTACACGGTTTCGCCATGGGACCATGCACAAAAGTTCAAGAAGTCACGCAACCGCCAGTTGGCAGCAGTGTGCAAGTGAAAACAGCTGATCCAATTCTGATCAGTTCGTGACCGGTGCTGCCATTTGTAGATGAACTGTTATCGGGGGAGCGTTTAGAAAGCGAGGTCCTGCTAATTCGCTCTGAGCGATCCTTCGTTGCAAAAATCTCGACGCCTGCTCCCTTCGACTTTCCTTCCTCTAGAAAAGCTTATCTTATATGTACACCAAGTCAAACTATCATAACCAATGACATTCTCGAATTTGATAATCGTGGAAAAATGCCGAAAAAATTCACTACGAAAATGTGCATTGTTCCGAATCAGTAGAAGCTACAAATCAGCAAGTGTACTATAAGTTTCAGGTCTTAACCCAACACTGGGATACAAAGAGGTTCAGAGACCTCCAGAACAGATCAAATGATCATATAATATTTCACGGGACCGTAGCACTAAAAATCGAAGTTGTTCCCACATGACACACTACCAGCTGAACTCTAGTTCTGACTACAAAGGGCACATCTGGTGTCAAAAAAGTCTTGGGATGTCATGCTGATCAATTGTGTGGCAAAAGGAATGCAGAGCGTCAACAGAGGCAATTTCAGCCGGAAAGTAAGGCAACAAGGTAACACTCGGCCTTTCGATCACGGACACTTGCTCGAAGAACTGGCGTTCTCTGCGCGATGGTCAGTGTTCCCTAGGACAACAGTCGCTCAACATACCTCGAACGATGGTGATAGATGTGTAATCGTCAACGTTACTGCCGCGTCCTGATCATCGCTGATATAAATCTCTTGTACTCGGTTTCGCCTGCAAAGTACTTCATTAGCACGAAGTCAAATTGATAGAGAAACAAAAGTGCCTCACATAAATTGACGGTAGACAACCCACATTTCAACATCCCTTCGACCTATAACTGGCAGCAAAAGTGTAAGAGTCCGACTCCGGCGAAACAGAGAGTGCTTCCGCGCGTCCTCCTCTACAACAAGCGACAGTTGCACTTATGGAGATTTTGGTTTTGTGAACAATAACAACATACCGTTGTCCCGCACAAATAGAGGCTATCTCCTAAGGAAATCACGCTACACAAATTGTTTTAACTACTCACTTCCAAAATGAAGTTTCAGTCCTAGCCCTCCAGTATTGGGCCATTGTTAGGTAAAGCCAGAACATCAAAAAAACATCCAGAATGCGCCCTACATCCAACTTATAGTTCAAGTGGTAAGCGTTTGAATGTGCATGGTTACAGCTATTCAATATATAGCCGAGACCCCTAGAACTCCCTGAAGAAAAGATTCCTATCAAAAAGCACAATCATTGTATGTGCGGAAAATATGACATTGCCAACGATCCTCCTCCCACCCCTTTGAAGCACAATCTTTCGAAAATTCTGCTATCAGTGAGTGGGAAGTGAACACTTCTTAAGCCACACAACTAAAAATCAGGAGACGCCGATTTAATAACGCCCTCAAATGGGTACAATCAATGCACGAAAAGTCCTCTGAAGTATCCGATTGCATGAGAAAAGAAACTGGGAAACTTCCTCAACGCTACATCTAGCTCCAACAGTAAAATATGACTCCGATAATTTATAGAACGATTCAGGTAAGCCACTCGTAAATGCACATTCCGGGCACCCCTCGATTGTAGCAACAAAAACGCGCCATGAAGCCTACACCCTTGACCAAAAACCCAAACAGGTCGGTGCCAGCATCGTTGTGTCCATCGTGAGAGGGGTCTTGAAGTGGGCCGTGAGGAGGAGGGTCGCATTTCGTTGCTGGAGAGGAGGGGTCGATGTTGCTTGGAAGTATCGTCACATCTGGGGAAAAATTTTTCCCGGTGGTGACTTTTCGCGGCTTCTCCTTTTCACTTGCTTATGCCTTCCACCCCCCCCCCCCCGTTGCCCTATTTCTTGTGCAAACAACGTCTTTCCGATAATATGAGTTCCTGCGACCATCTGGCCACCCCACTCCGCCGACGGACAATTATTGGGAAAGGAGCGAACTCGGAGTTTTGGAAAACTGGACGCGAAGCTGGAAACATGCGGAAAATGGGAGGTAGGTTGCGGGAAGAGTGGGTCCACCTAAACTCCTCATATAGGTGGCGGTGGGGGTCGTACGATACCCTCTTCGGGGGAGTCGTACTGACACCGGATTTATTTCAACACATCACGATGCTGTACCCTGACGCAGAGTGCGCTATCACATAAAGCAACCCCTAGATCTAGCAAATTCAAAAGACTACAAAAAATTCAAATGAGCCATCAAAAACCGACCGAATGCCTTGCTCGCACGCACTTTGCATCGATCTAGCAATTATTCATCAGCATTTCAGCATTTTGGTTTCGATACTAATGCATATGGAATGAAGGGCAGGAATGAAAATAGGACCACCAGCACAGTTCGCTGATCAAACCCCACCGAACTGCCACCCAGTCGAGCCTTCCACCTCACCAGAATTGGATAAGAGGGACCAGACTCATGTGGGAGGATAAAAAACTGATGCAGCGCAGGTTAGAGGTGCCTCCAAAGGCCGGTAGGGTCGTTTGAAGTCGAATGTGTGGCGCATCCTAGACAAGGATTGACTAACCACCAATTTCATTTTTCATATTCTATGGACTGCAGCTAGAACTACTACATACTCTCGCTTCCAGCAACATGTTCGCCCTAGGAGTTTTCTTTTGTCGACAAAAATATTCTCAGCGCTACATCGACTCGAGTACGCCGAGCAAAAAATAAATTATTTAGGCCTGGTCATAATAGGGTATTTCGAGTTCTTGCGAGGCTTTCCACCGAGAAATTCCCCGCTCTTATTCTTTTCAAATAAGACCCTATTACTTGAGCCATGAGTAATGCGAATGGGAAGGGAGGAAGAAAGACGCTTCAATCGGGAATGTGTACCAGCCAAATATTCACTAAAGGATTCCCTTCAGCTAGATAGAACATTTTCCAAATTTTTTGAATGCAAGCGCGTTGACACATCAAAATAGCCTAGGCGGGCTAACGCGGCTCTATACCTTTTCCCGTCCAGAATCCGCAAGTTCGTTTCACCCACCTCATCCGATGGCGCCTCCGATTAATGATATTCCTCCATTGTCTACATACGGCTTGTGCTGTTCGTATACTGCTGGCATCGATCTTTTCCAGAATCTTCTCGGTCATTTCTGGCGGCAGATCGGCGAACGAAATCGCCGATGCCATGGCTATTGGTGGCCCAGAAAACGGGATGGCCAAGAAATCTCTGAAGAAAGTGAAACATAGTCACAACAGAGGCAAATCTGCTAGAGTTACGGACAGCGATTCCACACGTTCAAAGGGAAACAGTACAAAAAAAAACTGAAATAATGGGCAAAAAATATAGAAAAAAAGTAGGAATTGCCAAGATAATGTTAAAATAAACAAGGGTGATATGTAATAATGGTCGCTAGGAAGATGAAACGCAATGTAATTGGCTGATTTCTAGCGATAGTTGGATGAAATTGGACGGGTCACTGCCAACTAGGGTGAGGGAAAAAAGATTAGGAAGCCGCTCGGCAGAAACCAAAACTAGTCCCATTTAGTCGTGTTTGGTGGTCTCACGGTGGGTCTGTGCGAACTCAGGTGTGCCCCATTGCGCTTCCCTAGCCTTCGAAGTGATACCGCCTCCCTTGCGTCTGATGTAATTAACATTGTAAGGTGGGCAATTGTGAATGCGGGGGATTGTAATGAAATTACAAGAGATGGAACGCCGGGAGGTATGAAAGAAGGAAGGCGTCAGTTTCTGTGGGCTGCGTGTTTATTAGTGGGCCTGTTGGTTGAGCGTCTCAGCATGACGGAACGAGCGGCAGAAGATACGACCACAACAAAACGCACGCCATACTGGGCCAGGACCCGACGTGCGTCTTGTACATGTGAATCTTTTGGGCTATCGCTCGGCCTCCCGCCATAGACAAAGGTCACCCATTGAGCACCCTGACAGCCTTCTATTATCGACGAAAATATTCCCAGGCTCTATTCGACTCGAGTACGCCAAGCAGATGCAAACATGAAAATTCTAATAGTCCTTGTCACAGAAAGAAAACTCTGAGTCCTTGAGATGGCATCCTCTAACAAGATTTTCCCCCTGATAAGAAACTTCTGATGTTGCTCTTTTCGGCACTATTTACCCTTTACTGCCCCAAACATCCAGAATGAGCCAGTTTTTGACCGACTTTTTTCTCCGTGGACAGATTTGGCTCAAATGTTGTCTCCTGGGGTAGTTTGACCTCCTGAATACGAATATCACATTCGCTCAGCCCGAAACCTCCTGGCGCCCGCGCCACAGGCGCCGGTGATTTGGGGTATTTTGGCGCCGGCGCCTGTAGCGCCAAGAGGTTTCGTGCTGAGCGGATGAGATATTCGTGTTCAAAAGTCAAAGTACTCTTGGGAACAAGTTTTCAGCGAATTTGGTGATTTAAGGTATTTTGGCGCCGGCGCCTGTGGCGCGGGCGCCAGGTTTCGTGCCGAGCGGATGTGATATTCATATTCAGAAGATCAAACTATCCTCAGGAGTCAAATTTCTAACCAATCCCGTTCATCGAGAAAAATTCGGTCAAAAACTGGCCAGATTTCGGATAACTGGGGCCGGGCCGTAAAGGGTAAACAGTGCCCTCTTGTCAAATAACACCCTTTCGGATGCGTTTTGAAGAATGCGTGTGGGAGAACAGTGAATTCTCATAGAACCTTGTGCTTACCTTTTCGTGATTTCGA